CTTTGAAACAATAAAAGTTGACATAATTTTGAGGAAATCAACAAAAAAATAGCCTTCCAGCTTAATTAGAACCGAAGTTATGACTGTCTGAAAAGTAGTCTTTTTCTTTTTACTTCTCTAACAATTTAACATTCTTGCTATTGCGATTTTATATTCATTGATAATTGGCAGTCAAAAATATAAAAAAAGGAGATCGATATAATTTTAAAATAGGAATCTTGTTACATACATATTTGTCATTTTTATAATAATATAAAAAATAGTGATGTCGAAAAATCACGCAAAAACCCATAATTAAGATAGGCAACAAATTTGCTTGTTGTGTTTTGGTAAAACAAAGAAAATGTATCCGGTGATTAGAGAAGATAAACTGGAAATTAAGATAAAAAAATTTATCGAATACGATCACGATGACATTAGGTTACCTTCTGTTGTATGCTCTGGCTGCCAAAGAGATTTATATAGAATTTCACAAGATGATGTTGACAACAAAAGCGTTATATTACCAAATTTTTCTAACATGAAACTCATGAAGGAAACGAGATCAACGAGTTGCACTGTGTGTAAGTGTTATATTAGCAAGAACTCCAAAGTCAGGAAATTTCACGAAAGTTGTTTTACCAGAGCGAAAGAGAATTCTGTCCGACTTTTTGAATAAACAAATCTTAGATCAGTGAACAACTAATAATAATAATAATAATATAAATAGTAATAATAATACTAATAATAACCCTAAGAGTAAGAAAAGTTTTATACTTAGTTTATTTTGTATTAATCTTGTGAAGAACAAGAAATTACAACTAAACTCTCATTGACGCAGCCTCGAGGTGGTCAGCAGCTTCAAGTCACTAACGGCCAAAGTGCAGATAGAAATTCATTGAAGCAGTCACTTCTTACAGCAGAAGACTTTTTGAAAATTCAAAATAATTTCAATTTAAGTCAGAATAAAGTAATTGGGATCGCTGCTGCTATTCGTATTGCTACAAAAAATAGAAAGATTATTGAACCTGGTCTAAAGAAAAGCTTATCGGTTAAAAGTCATATCAGCGATCAGTATTTTGATTGTGGAACATTTAAATTTTCCAGAGTCAATTCTAATAAAGTATCAGAAGAAGAGAAAACGATTGCCTATTGCTCTAATTTGGAGGGTTTTATCGAGCACATTAAAGAAATGCGTCAGCTATCAGAATGTCACTTAAAATTTGGAATTGATGTAGGTGGAGGTTTTCTGAAAGTATGTCTGTCTATCCAGTCCACTGTAAAACAGAAAGAACTGAGTGGTTGTCGTCAACGATATAATGACGGTATTTCTGCTAAACGGTTTAAGGATTCTGGAGTTAAGAAGTTGCTTATATTAGCTCTAGCAGAGTGTACTCAGGAAAATTATCAAAATGTATTGCTGTTGTGGTCTACAATTAAAATTAATAACTTCCAAGGGAGTATCGCTACTGACTTAAAACTCGCAAATATTTTGGTAGGTGTAATGGCACATGGCAGTTTATATCCATGCACCTGGTGTTATTCGATGAAAGGAAAACTTGATGAACGTGGAGTTTATAAAACTTTAGGCAATACTATGCAAAATTACAAACTATGGTGTGAAGCAGGATTCGAAAGCATATGTAGCTTATTATTCACCCGTCGAATTTAGCGGGTAATAAAGTGCACTTTATTTCCCTAGGGAAATAAAATCACATAATAACCCGCTGCATACACAGTTGGCATCACTGTAATCTGCTATATTTCACCTCTGGACACACAGATCTGGCATTGAGAACGATAATGCTGCCAATGTTTCCTCAATCCCTCACTGTCCTTTTGTTTCCCTCTCAAAATGGTGACATAGAAATCAAAGTTATTTAGAGTAAACACGCACTTGAAGTGAAAATAAAAAGATCTTTAGTAAAAATGACTGGAGATGGTAGTGATGCAATGGAACAATTCCTCAATTCTATGCCGCCTGAACTACAAAAAGCAGCCGAAGAAGCAACAAAAAATTTAGTGCCACAGAAATCGAAACAAAATTATCTAATCTCGTACAATGCTTTTAATCAGTGGAAAAAATCAAAAAATGTTCAATCTTCATCAGAAACAGTGTTAATGGCATATTTTAACGAACTTTCGAAAAAATATTCTTCATCTAGTTTGTGGTCTTTTTACTCTATGCTGAAAAGTATGATTTCTCAACATGAAAAAGTTAATATAAAGGACTATAATCAATTGATTTAAAAAAACAAGTGAATGTAAATTATTCTATTTACACTAATCAATTTACAAATATATAAAATTTAAACTATTTACATTTATTTACAGGTTGTTTTTATTTTTGGAATTTGTGGCGCCTATTGAAGAGACAAAATTGTCAAAATTAGATTTCAAGATGTAACAACGCAAGGTTATTTACTGATGGTGACACTGCCGGACACAAAAACAAACCAACCTCGATTTTTCACTATTGGCTTAGAATTTAACGAAATTATTAAAAAATACCAGACTTTGCGTCCCAAAAATGCAAGTGGTGACAGGTTTTTTATGAACTATCAACGGGGAAAATGTACAAACCAAGTTATTGGAAAAAACAAAATCGCTGGTTTTCCGAAAGAAATTGCTAATTTTTTACAATTACTAAATCCTGAATTATACACAGGTCATAGTTTTCGGCGATCATCGACGACTATACTTGCTGATTCCGGGGCTACGATAACAACACTCAAACGCCTCGGAGGCTGGAAATCAGCCTCCGTAGCCGAGGGATACATAGAGAACTCATTACAAAATAAAGCAAAAATTGGAAACGTAATTGTATCTGCAATAAATTTGCCCGTCGATACGTCTCATAATGAATCAACATCAATTCCTCCAAAGTTACAAAAATTAAATGCCATTGATTTAAATGCACCGTCATTCAATGAGAATATTGTTGCTGATAAGAAAACGTTCAGCTTCGAAAACTGAAATGTTACCATTAATTTAAAAGAAAATTAGTACTGTAATAGAGTCCTGACTTTGAAGTTTTTTAAAAAATAAAATTATTTAAATATAAATAAAAAACAAAATTTCGTTTATTCATAATACATACATAAAAAATTTCATTTATTCATATATTACGCTTATAATTTAGAATATTTTTTACATACACTACAAAATTATTAGATACTATTGTACATAATTAAAACTTTTGAGTTGGTGTTTTTGCAGTCGGGGGGCTTCGCCCCCCAACCCCCTGATCGGGGCTCCGCCCCTGGACCCTGGGGGGACCCCCGCGCAGCTAACTCCTTTGTATTTAGATACTACTAATTTATAATTAATAACTCGACCACTCTGAATGTCTTTTTGTAATATTCTGTTATACTGCTTTAAAATGCCTTCGTTACATAAAATATCGTGTGTAAGACGGGAGATATCACTTTATTCTCTCGTGTGATGTTCGCAACACTCGATGAATAAAGTGGCGCATATCCCTCTTGTAACACAATATACTATTCTTCTAGTAGTTTCATATTAATATTTTATTTATATATTTATTTTAAAAACAGAGACAACCATTTAGTACTATTATCACTTTCCTCTCTCTTTGCATGATGAGTATCCTGTTTTGATCTGTCTATACGATTCGTACTTCTACTTTGATGTTTGTGTTCACTCTCGCTACTATTACTTTCGTCATCTGTCATTAAATCTATCAAAGATTTTTTCTCATTGACTGGTTTATTTTTTAAATTGAAAGATGATGTAATATTTATATCACTAAGAAAACTAACAAACTGACCACGTCCTGATGGGTTTACAGTTTTTCTATATCTTAAAGCATCATTAATAAGATCAATTATTTTTGAATTTTCTACTGGTTTTCCATCTATAATAACTTTACCACGCAAGTCCCATTTTATGCGTTTACGTATTCTAGGTCTACGGATACTTTTTAATAAAGATTTGGCTCTTAATTTAATAGTTTTTAGTACAGCACCAAGTATTTCTTCATTACTCATTATTTTATCTTCATTAAAATTATCATTACCATCATCTTCCTCATTTTCATTAGTATCAATTTCTTCATTATTGATATTATTTAATATTTTTTAGAACTGAACGGTTTGCGTTTTAAATTAACAAAGAATAAATATTTTTGTAAAGTTTGTTGATACATTTTCCATTTTTCTCATTCATCTATTAAAACTAACGAATGTAATATTTTACTCATTTCGCTGTCAAGGCGGCTCATAATATTTCCAGGTGTTTTTATTGTGTCATTTCCAATTTCATTATTATTATTAAAATTTTTTTTGTTTCCATTATTTAATTGTAAAAAGTTAGACTGTTGTTGTTGTTGTTGTTCTAGTATTTTATGAACTTGTTCGCTGCGAATTAAAACCATTTTCTTTGCATGTTCCATATTAGAATTCCATGAAAAAACACAAATGAGAGGTGAGATTAAATTAATTAATTTTATTATTCGTAAACTAACAGCTGAAACCAATTAATTAAACCCGAAAACTGAAAAAAATCACAAAACTTTACATTAAACAAAAACGCTTAGTACTTTGAAGGTATAATGTGGATTTTTTTCATATTTTATGTAGTTTTAAGGAAAACAATCAAGAGAGTCACTTAAACAAAATTTTTTAAAAATTTTGTATCACAGTGTAATTTGTTTATAAACTCAGCTACGAAAAAGTTAAATCGCCTGTCATTCTCAAAAATACTTAACACACGTTACAAAGGTTTGATTACCCTTACGAAAATTTATAATAAGAAATTTCTAATTGGCCTATCATTGATTTTCTATCGTATTATTTTTACCATTTTTTCGCGAAGATAGAAAAATGATAGAAAAAATTATAGTAAAGTGATAGGGAAAACGATTTAGAAGAAATTTTGATTTTAAAAGACTTGATTTAAATGAAGATCAAACGCACCGTGATTCAATTCATCAGACATGCAGCATATAGTCAATACAATACTATTCATTAATATGGTTATATAAGTGCAGAAAAACTTACACGTCAAACATACTTCTGTGAAATGCACACTGTTTGGAACAAGCATTAAATTTCCAATCCCATCAGGCTGCGCTTGTTCTCTAGTAAGATAACAACTACTGTCTTCATATTCAGGTGTTCCACTAAAAGACGCTATTCTACTTCCTGGTTGAAAATCAAAACTTGTACAAGCACGAACTAAATTGTTTATTGCTGTTCTATCCCTTAAACAAAGTTCTTGACACTTTTCAAATACTCTAAATGGAGGTGAAGGATCTCGAACCTGAAATAAAAGTTTAATTATGTTGTTTCGACTGTTAAGAGGATCTAATATGTTAGACACATTTTTCAAAAATTCAACTATTTGGTTTAAAACTTGTTTCCCGGAGAGATTTTGGGATTTCTGATTGTGAATCTGAAGTCAGTTTTGAAAAATTTGTAATGACTTTCCCATTTTGAAGTCGCTTAATCCAAATATGGAGCCGACAGTATACCATGTGGACAATTTTTCACTCTTTTTTGACTCCCCAGTGCTGTTGAGGGCATGAGTGAACATTTTTTAAAAGTGTATATTTAAAAAAATAATATATTTTATTTATGAACTTTTTCTAAAGTAGAAATTACTGGAAATTGAGGATTTAACCGTCTAAAATTATTTTTAGAATATTCTGCACATATTCAGTGTTTTAATTTTTAAACAAATTAATTTTTCTTTTAAAAAATTATAAGAAATTAATATTTGACTAACTTAAAAATTCAAAAAATTTACTTGAAACATGTTATATTCAGGTTTTTCGGGTCGCTGATAACGAATTCGGTGGCAGATATTAAAAATTCAAAATGGCGGATCTATATGGCGGACGACTTTTTGAAAATCAAATGCAATTCGGTTAAAACTTCTTACTTGGGGGTTTTCTGTGTCGCTGATTACAAATCCGTTGTCCGCTTTTTAAAATTCAAAATGGCAGATCCAATATGGCGGATGACTTTGATACCAGTCACAAGGGTAAAAGGCTCAAAGGAGGGTAAAAACGTAAAACAAATTACCAAAATTACGTTTGTGCAGGCGCGAAAGAGTTTGTGTTGTATTCGAGTAAGAGAGAGAGTGACGTCACATGAAGTGCTCTCTTTCTCTCTCTCTCTCTGTCGCATGGAGTGAAACAAGAGCGAGTGTGATGACGTCACCGGGTGGTTCCGGCATCCGTACCATAACCGACTCGCTGAGAGTGACTCCCGGTATCGGTGTAGGTGGGCCGTAAACGCTTTGCGGCTCTTCACGTAACGTAAACGCTCGATAAGAGAGACTCCCCGTACGTTTACGTTAGTGAGGCGGCACCTGGTGGTCACGTCACGTGATGACGACGATGAGAAGCGTAGTTTCCGTATTTACGGATTGTCTGGCGAATATTGCTGGAGGGTTACCCGTAGCCTAACGACTCGCTAAGAGTGACTCCCCGTATCGTTAGGCGGGTTTGCGTGCTCTTTGTGTCCGTACCTTAACCGACTCGCTGAGAGTGACTCCCGGTATCGGTGTAGGTACGACAGAGGCTCTCCACGTAACGTAAACGCCCGTAGAGAGTGACTCCCCGTACGATTTACGTTAGTGAGAGTGCAGGGTTTACCCGTAGCCTAACGACTCGCTAAGAGTGACTCCCCGTATCGTTAGGCGGGTTTATGTGTTCTCTGGGCCCGTACCGTAATCCGACTCGTAAAGAGTGACTCCTCGTATCAGATAGGTGGGCCAGAGACCCTGCACGTAACGTAAACGCCCGTAGAGAGAGACTCCCCGTACGATTTACGTTAGTGAGAGTGTGAAAGAGGGTTGGGGTCTGAAAATAGAAATTGATTAGTCGGCCTACGGTAGTAGGGTGAAAGAAAAGTAGAAAAGTTCAGTTGAAGAACCTTTATTTGAAAGTACGCAAGAGACCTACACGCCGTTAGGCGGCAAATCTCTGCTGGCTGGTGTTCTAACACTCAGACCTTATATACACTTAGCAAGTCATCTCGACTGCGAGTGAAATAATAACTACATATTTACTACAGAACAGCGCTCGTAGCGTTAAACAATAAGAACTAAATTGAAAACTTAAATGTAATACACACACACACACACACATATATATATATATATATATATATATATATATATATATATATATATATATATATATCTAACATTATAAATTATAAATAAATTATAAATTATTATAACAATAATATTTATAATTAACAATCAATAAAATTACAATTATTATAATAACAACAATTGTAATTATTAATTAGTTAATCACAATTTATTACAATATAATAATCATTTATAATAAATTATAAGTTATAATTAATATGTATAGATTAAAAAATATTAAACGTCGAACATAACCTTTTTTATAAACAAATTAACTGAAAACTCCGCTCGGAAAAGTATCCGGCGAGCAGGAGGTTTAAAGAAGTGACGCGTTGACAGCAAAGGGCCTGACGCGTGGAGAGTGGGAGAGAAAAGCGGGAAATAGGAGAGAGGCGTGGCGTGGAGTTTGGTTGGAAAGCGTAGCAGACCCGTTACCAATGACTCGGCCGAGGACAAAAATTCATGAAGAATGATCAATTTTGATTTTCTTCATGAATTCTAGTCACCCCTATCAGTGACATGTATCAACTTTTTGAAAATCAAATGCAATTCGGTTAAAACTTCTTACTCGGGGGTTTTCTGAGTCGCTGATTTCGAATCTGATGTAAGTTTTTCAAAATTTAAAATGTCGGATCCAATATGGCGGACAGGAAAATTAAAAATCAATTCAATTTACTAATATCAGATTCGTAATCAGCGACCTTGAAAATCCCTGAATCACTAGTTTCAATCAAAACCATCAAATTTAAAAAATTTATCCGCCAAATTAGTTCCGCCATTTTGAATTTTGAGAATATAACATCAGATCCCAAGAAGCACGTAATATATCCTCAATATCAAGGTAATATTACACGTAAGATTCGTAATATAACGCTGTAATATTACAGTAATCTTAAAATGTCCGCCTCAAGGTAATATTACCGGGAATATTACTGTAATATTAACGGTAATATTACAGTAATATTACAGTAATATTAAAGACTGATTTGAGTTATTCATAAAGCATAAAAAACGTAAATATATTATAAGTCAATTTGGCTTGTTGGTAAAACTCTGGAATCGTGTGCTTTGAGTTCGGGGTTCGATTCCCTGGATGGGTAGATTTTTTTCGTAAAGAAATGTTCCCATAATATTACTGTAATATTCTCTTGTAATATTACCTTAATATCACGGTATAATATTACTGCAATATTACTATAATATTACCTTAATATTAGCGCGTAATATTACAGTAACATTACCGGTAATATTACCTTGAGGCGGACATTTTAAGATAACTGTAAGATTACTGTAATATTACAACGTTATATTACGAATCTTACATGGAATATTACCTTGATATTGAGGTTATGTTACGTGCTTCTTGGGATTTGTAATCAGCGATCCCAAAAACCCCCGAGTAACAATTTTCAAGCGATACCGAACGATTTTTTTAAAATTCTTCTGTCATATGGAATTGGACATTTTGAATTTTAAAAAGCAGATACCAGATTCGTACTCAGCGACCCAAAAACCCCGAGTAACAAGTTTCAAGCGAATAGCATTTGATTTTCAAAAATTCGTCTGCCATATTAGATCCGCCATTTTGAATTTTAAGAAATGGACACCGGATTCGTAGTCAGCGACCCCGAAAACCCCCGTGTAACAAGGTTCAAGCGAATTGCATTTGATTTTTTAAAAGTCGTCCGCCATATTGGATCAGCCATTTTGAATTTTAGAAAACAGACAACGGATTTCTTATAAGCGACCCAGAAAACCCCCGAGTAAGAAGTTTTAACCGAATTGCATTTGATTTTTAAAAAGTCTTTCGCCATATTGGATCCGCCATTTTGAAATTTTAAAATCTGATACCGAATTCGTAATCAGCGACCTTAAAAATGTAAAAATAATAATATTTGACTAAAGAATGGTATTGCGATTATTAGTTCGTACCTTAAAGGGTTAAAACATAACATAGAACCACAAAGGGAAATTGAGGTGGACATGTTTTAAGGGTAGGTGACCTTTATGTTTTTGAGGTCGCTGATTACGATGCCGGTATCCGTATTATCGCATGACGTCAGCCTCAAGGTCAACACAACGACAAATACCTTAATTTGAAGTATTTAATTTTTTTGATACCGGATTCAGAAAGAGCAGAAAATTTTGCGTCCAGATACGTTTTGATCTTTTTTTTACACTTACATTTTAAGATCATATCAAGGTCATCTAGAGGTCAAATTCTTCTTTTAATTTCTCGGCCGGGATTTCAGCTTGGAATTGGTCTTAGAACAGTTGCTTATATTTTTGGGATCGCTGATTACGATGTCGACGTCCGTGTGACGTCATCAGGTCAGCATCAAGGTCAACACAAAATCAAACACCATAATTTAAAATATTTAATCAGCGACCCCAAAAACATAAGAAGCAATTGTTCTAAGACCAAGTCTAGGCTAAAATTCCGGCCCAGAGATTAAAAGAAGAATTTTACCTCTAGATGACCTTGAAATGTTAGTTTAAAAAAAGGTCAAAACGTACCCGTACATAAAATTTTCCTCTCTTTCTGAATCCGGGGTCAATAAAATTAAATATTTCAAATTAGGGTGTTTGACCTTGAGTGATGCTGACCTGATAACGTCACACGGACACCGGCATCGTAATCAGCGACCCCAAAACATAACAAGCAACTGTTCTAAGACCAATTCCAGGGTAAAATTCCGGCCCAGAGATTAAAAGAAGAATTTTACCTCTTGATGACCCAAAAACATAAAAAGTGACTTCTAGGACCAATTCCAGGTTAAAATTTCGGCCGAGAGATTAAAAGAAGAATTTAACCTCTAGATGGCCTTGAAATAACTTTGAAATGTTAGTTTAAAAAAGACCAAATCGTATCTGGACGTAAAATTTTCCGCTCTTTCTGTATCTGGTGTCAAAAAAATTTCAAATTTCAAATTAGGGTGTTTGTTCTTCATTTTTGCAAAAAATCCCATGCCTCGTTGCTCATTTTTTCCAAAATTTTTTGACAACTCAGTACGTGTTTGATAGTTTCTTTCCTATTTTCACGATACGCAACAATATGGGCATCGAAGTGGCAATTTGTTAACCGTTCGCCATCAGTATTAACTTAAAATCGGCAACAAACTTGAAAGGAATGTTATTCAGTTTATTCAGCTGAAACA